TAGTATTTTTGGGGATTTTTAGGGGTTTTTTTGGCATTTTTAAGGGATTTTTTTCACTTTTTGGGTATTTTTGCAGCATTTTTTGGGGCTGTTTTTTTAGTATTTTTGGGGATTTTTATGGGGTTTTTTTGGGCATTTTTAGGGGATTTTCTTCACTTTTTGGGTATTTTTGCGGCATTTTTTGGGCTGTTTTTTTAGTATTTTTTGGGATTTTTAGAGGTTTTTTTGGGGCATTTTTAAGGGATTTTTTTCACTTTTTGGGTATTTTTGCGGCATTTTTTGGGCTGGTTTTTTAGTATTTTGGGGGATTTTTAGGAGGTTTTTTTGGGGCGTTTTTAAGGGATTTTTTTCACTTTTTGGGTATTTTTGCAGCAATTTTTGGGCTGTTTTTTTAGTATTTTGGGGGATTTTTAGGGGTTTTTTTGGGGCATTTTTAAGGGATTTTTTTCACTTTTTGGGTATTTTTGCAGCATTTTTGGGGCTGTTTTTTTAATATTTTTGGTGGATTTTTATGGGGGTTTTTTTGGGTATTTTTAGGGGATTTTTACTTCTTTTTTTTGCATATTTTGGGCTTTTTATTTTTTTTTTTTGCATTTTTGGGCTGGGTTCTTTTGTATTTTTGGTGGATTTTTATGGGTTTTTTTGGGGGGATTTTCGGGGGATTTTTACTTTTTTTTTGCGTATTTTGGGCTCTTTATTTTGGCATTTTTGGGCTGGGTTCTTTTGTATTTTTGGTGGATTTTTAGGGGATTTTTGGGGGATTTTTCTGGGGATTTTTTTGAGATTTATGTTGGGATTTTGGGGCATTTTTTCAGCGTTTTGGGGGGGATTTGGGTGAATTTATTTGGGGACTACTGGAGGATCTTTAGGGATTTCTTGGGATTTTTGTGGCAGTTTTTGAGGGGATTTTTGTTGGGATTTTGGAGGATTTTTAGGGGAGGTTGGGGGTGGGGTTTATTGAGGGAATTCCCAATTTTTCCCCCCAACATCCCTGCTCTTTCCCCCATAAATTCCTGATTTTTTCCC